TTTTATAATAAAATATTTCAAATATATAAAAGTCAAGATCATTTAACAATTATCTAAACGTGGATGATCTCGCTCTACTCTACTTTCCCCACCAGTGCTACTATTCCCCAATCCAACAGGATGATTTTGAAATAAATTCAAGATACCGTATCATTTCATCTGTAAATATTTCAGTAATTTTTCTAAAAGAAGCTCTTTCAAAAAGTCTAATCTCAAGACATGACACCTAAATAAGTAATACATATTAATATCTAGTCATGTTTAAAATTTTACCAATTTTTGAAAACACTGTCCAATAGTTTGATTGAATTGGAAATGCAGAGTAAGATCCATATACTGTGACTAGTTCAAATGCCTCTTATTTTATAGGGCTTTTTTTGAGAAACTGGCTCATTAGCCATATAATACTGGCTGATGCCAATCTCATCTCTGTTGTTTAACGTGTTCCTCCACGCTTTGAGTTCCTATAAATCTGCAGTTAGAAATACGAGGCTCAATTAGATTTATTTTTTGCAAAACTACTTACAAGTGTATATTCATGTTTCTACCACTTTTAACACATTTCTGAATAGAAAAGAAAACCAATTTGAATATAAAGTAGTTTTAAACTCTTTTTTCCCCTCTAAAAAAAAAAAAAGCACTTGCTTATAGTCTTGGCTGCTGGATTCTATATGCTTAGTATAGAGTTCAGTAATTAAAGTGAAGATTATTTGGTGGTTAGTATAAATTTATAATTAAAACAAATATTCAAAGCACTGAAAAATGTTATAAAAAATACCTTTTCAAATGTCTATGCTGTCTCAAATCATGTATACCAAATTCCATGATTCAAAGATCCAGTAATACCCTATTCCTCCTGCCTACCTTCTTTCAACCCCTTTACCATAATTAAGATAAATATTTACCATTTTAATCACGCATTTTATTTTTTGGTACAGGGGATCGAACTCGGGTCCTTGCACTTGCGCAGCAGGCAGCAAAACCACTGAGCTAAATCCCCGGCCCAAATCATGCATTTTTTTTATCAGCAAGTCCTTAGTGAGGCTGTCAAACACAACTCACCTTTGGAGTGAGAATCCTCTTGCCAAATGTCATCTGTGGGTGAAGTTTCCCTGTAATGAAATTTGTTTGAAAATGTGCTCAATACCCACAGAAAGAACTGTTTAATTTTTTAAAAGTCTAAGAGCCTTTGCCATTAAATATAATCTTTATTCTAAGATAATTACTTTACCACTGTCAATTCGAATTCTCTTGAAGATGGAACCTTCAGTTATTAAAAGTTCTGTTGAAATATACTTGACAATAGATGTTATATCATATTAACAGTTAAACACATTACAAAATGGTAAGCTGCCATTCTCATAAGACAAACAAAAATAGAATACAGGGCTAGGGATTTAGCTCAGTGGTGTGCCGCCAGCCTTGTAGGCACAAGGTCCTGAGTTTCATCCCCAGTACTGCAAGATGCACCAGTGTTAACAGTAGTTCTCTTTTAAAATATCATTTATTGGGTCGGGGATTTAGCTCAGTGGTTTTGCTGCCTGCCGCGCAAGCGCAAGGACCCGAGTTCGATCCCTGGTACCAAAAAAAAAAAAATCATTTCTATTTCTTTCTATAGGAGGATATGTATTTTTAATGGGAAAAGCCAACACTCCCCCTTTCCTCATCAGCATTAAAGCTTACAGAAATCATGACTAAATGCTGTGAAAGTCACAGAGACTTCCCTCAATTCTTTCCAAAAGTACAATCCCTTCCACCAATGTGCTCTTCTTACCCAAGACAAGAGCTCACTGGACAAACAGAACCAGATGGAGCCATTCCTGGTACTTTCTGAGATTCAGATGCAATCTGCAGTTCAGCTGTTTCCTTTGCAGGCACCCTTTCTTTTTGCTGTTGTATTAAAATAAACAAAATTAGTATCCTTCTCATCCAAAAACTGTTGCATTTTTTTTTTTTTTTTGACAGGGTTTTACTATGTAGTTCAGACTGGCTTTGAACTCACTACGTAGCCTAGGCTTCCCTTGAACTCCTGGCAATCCTCCTGCCTCAGCCTCCCAAGTGCTAGGATTTCAGGCATGCACCACCATGCCCAACATTGCTGCCTATTTTCAAGTGCTAGCTCCAATATTAGCTTTACCACTTTTCTAGATGCCCACATGAAATATCTGTATCACAAAAGTTCTATCTGATAATTTATGTTCCTACTGCATCCTGGCATTGCCGAACTGTACTCAATTGAGGATGGGCACATACTGAATTCTTTAGTTAACCTCATTTTAATGGAAAATGACCAGAATAAAAAGCTAAAATCAGAATTAACAAAATAATGAACTATAATTAAAAAGTTAATAAGCTGTCACTTATTTCACAAACCATATATCACCTGTTAAATTACATTTGAAGTCACCTATTACTTTCATGCTCAACTTTTCTACTAATAACTCATAAACTCCCCCAAACAGGATGGGGGTTGGGAGGACTTTAACTTTCCAGATTGAGGTTTGCTTTTTTTTTGGTACCAGGGATCAAACTTGGGTCCTTGCACTTGTGCAGCAGGTGGCGAAACCACTGAGCAAAATCCCCGGCCCTAGGGAGGACTTTAACTTTCTATACTTCTGTATTGTTTACATTTATTTCAAGTTGGGCATGTAGCTCAGTGGTACAGCATTTGCCTAGCACATCTGAGGACATGGGTGCACTGAACCACAAATTTTTAAAAACTGGCTAAATTTATTTCAATGAGCATTAGTTTTGTGTATTAGAAAAAGGAAAAAATTACCTGATCACCTGTTCTTTCTTCTTGAGTAATTTGGATTTCTTTCAGTTTCTTCTCCATCTCTTCAATCTGTTTCTTCATTTCTGCTATCTTCTGTTCACTGCTCAAGAGCTCAGCTAGAAACAGTGAAGTTGACACAGGTCTTACTCCCAACAGCAACTTATTCTGTCAAAAACTACCATTGGAGCTCATATCTTCAATATGTTATGTTAATACAGATGAAAATTATATAAGCAGAACAAAGTCCTTAATTTGAGATCTAGGTTTCTTTTTCAGTACTGGGGATTGAACTCAGGACCTTGTGTTTGTGAGGCAGGCAGCAGTACCACTGAGCTAAATCCCTGGCCCAATCTAGGTTTTTAAAATCTAGTTTAAAAAA